ATCTCGTCATGTCACAGTAAACACAGACAGGACAAGTAATTGTTGTCATGTCACAGTAAACACAGACAGGACTAGTAATTGTCCTCATGTCATAGTAAACAGAAGCAGGACTAGTAATTGTCGTCATGTTACAGTAAACACAGACAGGACTAGTTATTGTTGTCATGTTACATAAATCACAAACAGGACTAGTAATTGTTGTCATGTTACAGTAAACACAGACAGGACAAGTAATTGTTGTCATGTCACAGTAAACACAGACAGTATCAGTAATTGTCGTTATGTCACAGTAAACACAGACAGGACTAGTAATTGTCGTCATGACACAGTAAACACAAACAGGACTACATGTAGTTATTTTCGTCGTGTCACAGTAACCATGGACAGCACTAGTAATTGTTGTCATGTCACAGTAAACACAGAGAGGACAAGTAATTGTCGTCATGTTGCAGTAAACACAGACTGGACTAGTAATTGTTGTCATGTAACAGTTAACACAGACAGGACTAGTAAGTGTTATATCACAGTAAACACAGACAGGATTAGTAATTGTCGTCATGTCACAGTAAACACAGACAGCACAAGTAATTGTCGTCATGTCACAGTAAACACAGACAGGACAAGTAATTGTCGTCATGTCACTGTAAACACAGACAAGATCAGTAATTGTCGTTATGTCACAGTAAACACGGACAGGACTAGTAATTGTCATGCCACAGTAAACACAGACAGAACTGGTAATTTCCGTCATGTCACAGTAAACACGGATAGGACCAGTAATTGTCGTCATATCACAGTAAACACACGCAAGTGAGTTAAGGCTAAATGTGGGCTTTTCTATGCAAACGAGCTAATAAAAAAACATAAATTGTGTATTTTATATACGTGGAATGTTCAAATTGATTTTCTTATACATACCTAGTACCGACAGTATATTATTGTAAGTGCACATTATGACGTTATATTATGACGTCTCAGTTATTTCCCATTGAAGGTAATAAAACTCATCAACAAAACAACAACGGCGCAAGGGCATATCATATTTGATTTAAAATAAATAATGTATGATACTAAGGAGAATATTCCTAAAAGTCATAAAATCCCTGTACAAATCCTATGGTCTTCTTCAAACTATAAACAATTTACTAAACTTACACTGGACTGTGCATTTTTACACTGTTTTAACTTAGTACTGTACGAATAGTAACTGAACAATTGCAGTGCCGATATTTCTGCAGAAATATCTTAAATCCTTGTAATATTGTGCTTCTTTTTATACCTTGTTTCTGTAAAACAAAATAAGGTATGCCCTTGCGCCGAAGCGATTTTGTTGATGTTTCTTATAAACTTGTGTAGTAAAGGTTGATGACGTCATAATATGACGTCATAATAAGTACTGGCTATCGCATATCGTGGATACCAAGAATATATTAGAAAACAAGTCTTAGCATTTTCTTATCGATATGTATAGCAATTATGGGTTTTAACTAGATATTTTGCATTGAAACCTCCATACGTAGCCTTAACTCACTTGCGCAGACCCAGGACTAGTAATTGTCGTCATGTCACAGTAAACACAGACAGGACTAGTAATTGTTGTACTGTCACAGTAAACACAGACAAGTGTAGTAATTTTCGTCATATCACAGTAAACACAGACAGGACTAGTAATTGTCATGTCACAGTAAACACAGACTGGACTAGTAATTGTCATGTCACAGTAAACACAGACAGGACAAGTAATTCTTGTCATGTCACATTAAACACAGACAGGATTAGTAATTGTCGTCATGTTACATTAAACACAGACGGTACAAGTAATTGTCGTCATGTCACAGTAAACACAGACAGGGCAAGTAATTGTCGTCATATCACAGTAAACACAGACAGGACTAGTAATTGTCGTCATGTCACAGTAAACACAGATAGGACTTGTAATTGTCGTCATGTCACAGTAAACACAGACAGGACTAGTAATTGTTGTCATGTCACAGTAAACATGGACAGGACTTTTAATTGTCTTCATGTAACAGTAAACACAGACAGGACTAGTAATTGTCGTCATGTCACTGTAAACACAGACAGGACTAGTAATTGTCGTCATGTCACAGTAAACACAGACAGGACTAGTAATTGTTGTCATGTCACAGTAAACACAGACAGGACTAGTAATTGTCGTCATGTCACAGTAAACACAGACAGGACTAGTAATTGTCGTCATGTCACAGTAAACACAGACAGGACTATTAACACTACTAAGTCAGAAACCTACTGACATTCCCATTTTTTACTGATAAACTTAGACATTTACTGACAATGTGCTGTCGTTACTGAAAAACTTAGACAATTACTGACCTTTTTACTGCCGGTGCTGATAAACTTAGAGAAGTGCTGATAATCTTAGTCGGTGCTGATAAACTTAGACAATTACTGACCCGTTTACTGTCCCTGCTGAAAAACTTAGACAAGTGCTGACATTTACTGATAATTACTGTCCCCATTGTTCTCGCTCTAGCAGGGTTTTAAGAGGTGTGGAAATTTATTAAAATAAGGGCATTGTTTTATAAAAATATAATTTAATGAATGGAATTTAAAAGAAACGTTATTTAATGAAATGTTGTTGGTGTCTACTCAATAAGAATGTACACATGTACATATGTTCCTCTCTACGTTTCATTAAAGTGAATGACAAGAAACAGAGATAAGGTTTATTCAGAATATTTTTTTGTATTTTATTTTATATTTATTTATTAATTTATTTTCAATATTTCACTCTTAAAGTGAAATTTTAAGTTTATATTACCTTAATTTTTAAGTTCAAATATTATTATTTTAAATGTATGTGATATTTTTCTCGTCCGTAAAATGGAATTTGTTTTAATTTCCATCCACCTTTACTAAAATAATTTCCCTATATTTGAAGGGTGATAAAAATCACATTATTTACGTACATGCTGGAATGGCTGCCATCAATGGCCAGCGATGTCTTTGAATTCGATCCTATTTCTTTACGATGTGTGTATAAACATTCTATCAGGGTGTATTTTGAATTATTTTCTTAATTCTGAACAGTAAAAATTAAAAAAAATATATATATATATCCTAATTGAAAATTTATCATCAACAAATAGATGAAGTCAAATTTTATTAATCCGAAATCAAATTTCATAATCCTTTATTTGCTTTTAAAATATTTTTTTTTATTTCTTGGGTAAAAAGGAAACAATGAAATATCCGTAGAGCGCGCAGGGGGATGGGGGTGGGGGCTTAATATAATTGAGAATAGCATTCTTGCTAAAGCAATTTTTCCCTGGAGACTGTTTGGCCCTTCACTTTTTATGGCTGTAATGTCGGGCACTAGCAATTTCCCGAATTTGGACAATTATTTTTTAAGCTCCTCCCAACACTTTAAAAATTGTTGCTACGGGCCTATAAAGTATAACTATGCAGGATTTTTTTTTTCAGTGTACTGATCGTTAATACCCAAAAATAATGGGAACGTGTTTTCATTTTGTAATGTCTTGATAGTGTATATAAAAAATGTGCGCCTTTTTAAAAAGAAAACAAAACAAAATTTGAAAATTTTCTTCCAAGAAAGAATTTAATGAAACTTCTTTCCCAATCGTTTTACTTCTTTATCTTTCTCAATTGTTTATCTGTGACCCAGTGCACGTTTCTTTCAAATAAAATAGGATTTGAACTACAAGAATTTCATCTTTGATAATAATCTAATTAATTAAAATACTTTTATTAGAATACTCTCGTGAATAATACTAATGGACACCTCTCTCTAACCACTTCCGGAAAACTTGACACACACAAAGTTGATGTACGTGAATTTCAATTTATACTTATATTATCATCAACGAAACAGTGAAAATTACCGGGCAAAGGATTCCAATCAGGGGCGTAGCAACAGGGGGGGGGGGCACTTTTTTTTTCCCAACCCTACTTATACTATAGGAAATGTCAATAAAAAGCCCGGTTGCCCCCCCCCCCCCCCCCACACACACACTTTTAGTGATGTACCGAAAATGTTGTATTAGAATTGGTACTGAAAGTAGTTGACACTGAGAAAAAGTTTACCTACCTACTACCCCCCCTCCCACCCTACGAAATAGGATTTTCGTCTTTGGGCAACCTTTTCCTCTTTTTTTTTGGCTTGTCAACTTTTTCAGGTAAATAAAAAAAATCTTGCCCCCCCCCCCCCCCCTTCTAAAAAGTTTCTATGCGCCTGTCCAATTAGAAGCACCCCCATTTCTCATTTATTTAAAGGCATTATCCATTTCCACTTAAAAACCAGAAGATGGTGACACAGAAATAACAGGAATCAAACCAGGATAATCTGACTACGGAATATTCTACAATGATGCCGCCTAAACTCATTCATGTCTGCATTTTTTTTTCATTTGCATAAAAAGTTCATAAGCGAATCAGGCTTTTTTCTGTCGAGATTAAATTAAAAATAATACCATTTTTCATGTTGCGTAAGTTCTATACCCTGTCCACAAGAAAGCGTGTGAATTGGGAAAGAGTCATTCATTAAATTACACAGAAGATTAATCAATCACTAGTGCTAGTATAAAGTCAGCTATTGATCAAGAAAGTACAAGTCCCTGTCATCATGCCGAATATACCCTAATAAATTTTATCATTCAACAAAGCCCAATGACATTCTTTTTTGTATATACGCAGTATTGTGGTAAATAAATACATGCACTAGGTAATTAGACGAGGACTTGAATCAAGTATTTGGCGAGAACTATCACTGTCTTACATGTGTACAATATTAAAGAAGTTTGACTGCATTCTTTTCCTGTTACCTTGACTTGTATCAATCCAAGACACAAACTCTCATCATTTTTAATTTTGATAATTGACCAATCCCTGCTTTCCAAAAAACAAAATCCTGGGTCTGTCCTTAATATTCAATGGACAACCAGTTAAATAGCTCATGTTACCTTTAGAAACAAATACTAATTAACACTTTTCCTGTACAATAAATTGCTGACTTTAATATTGTAACATGCCAATGCATCACAGAAACAATTTTTCAAAAGTAGGTATAATTTATTTTAGTACATCACTGTATAAATATAACAAAGTTAATGACACAAATTGTACAATATGTATATTGTCAATCCAAACACTGAAGAGAAATGTCTTGATCGACTTATTAATATAAATCCCTTTATACAGAGCAATCACAAACCAGTCTATAGTGAACAGAATAAAATTTCATACTATATTCCATGTACAAATCAGACATTTTCCTTCATTCCAAATTTTAGTTTTCTTCAATACATGATACAACTTCAAATCAATTAACAATAGTTATCCTGTCACCCCCTATGACACTCTGTTTAAATTAAGCAACATCCAAGATCTGAATTACATTGTCCTTTTCCACAAACACTACAGGGTCACTAAGCAAATTTACATGCACAAGTCGCTGACTAACAGTCTCTCTGGTCGTTTGGAAAAATCCGTTTTCTTTCTCAGCCTGTGGATAAATGTCTATCACAGCCCATGTCTGAATGTTAAAGTTCACATTGTGTTCTAGAAAAACACTGATGTTTCCGAACAAGTTGATGTGAGACGCACTCAAGACCTTCACTAGGCTACCATTTTTCGTCAATGCTAGGCTTTTGGCACACAGCTTCCTCTCACGGGTTTTGTATCTCACAGTTTCTTTCACAGATTCTTCAAAGTGAAAAATGTCCATATTCATTCCGCTTCTGTAGTAACAGTTCATATGGTTCTTCATATCACACGTTAAGGAAATGAGTTTGTCAGATGCGGAGGAACTATTGTACACGGTAGGGAGCAAGTTGTCCAGGTTATCACAAGCAGACATCAGTTGACTTTGTCCTTCTGAATGTGATGAGGGAACAAACTTCTGACTCAGCACCATGTACATGCACCAGTCATACACCTAAATTGAAACAAAAAATTTAATAAATATATAACAACAGAAACAGCAAATCTCAAGTTAACCTTCTATCCGTCTTCTGACAGGAGATATAACTCTCTCTTTGATAAATGTGAATCCTGTACAAAACTCTTTAGGTAAAATATTAATTTGGTTTGGAAAATCATTTCTGTTACCGTAACTCTAAACTCAAGTGAACACAGTAATGACATACTTTTCTTTAACAATCTTCACAATATGTTACAGTGTGTACACTATTTTATAAATATATCAATCCACAATACGAAGCTAAAACATGCACTGTGTCAGTAGCTTTAGAAGAGGGTGGTAAAGAAAATAAAAGTTTTAAAAATTTATAATGTGTACTTACTGCATATGTCTCCATTACTGTTGATTCCTCCGCACCCTTCTTCAAACACTGTCGAGTGATCCAGCCATTGGCCCTCTCATACGCAAAAAGCCATCTCCCATAGAGGGGTCCGTACATTGAGAAACCATCAACAATATGGTGGATCAGGTGTGTGACTAAATTCTGAAAAAAATATAAAGATAAAAAATTCTGATTACATATATTTGCAATAAACCCAACTTCATTCATTTATATACTTAACAGAAATTTTAAATCAAATATGCCTTTTGTTTTTTATATCATGTAATAAAGTCACAAGCCAGAAATTTGATAATTATTAAATACAATAACTGCATTTTGTACCTGCATAGACAGTGGGAAGTCTCTTTCAAATAAGGCTAAGGATGAATGGACTTCTCTCTGCAGATCTGGCAAATCTTCCTCTTTCAAAGTTGGTGACACGATTCTTTTAATAACATGTAGCATTTTCTCCAGGGTGTCTTCTTGCCTTGCTGGTAGGAATCCCTTGATGCACCACTCTAAAGCTCCACTTGTAACAAACTGTAAAATAAACATAATATTGTATAATATCCAAAATTAAGTACTTGTATTTGTTTTGATTAAATGCCTTTCAAAAAATCAGTGAAAATCTTGTTACATGTCAAAAAAAAATTGTCCTACCCATAAGAAACATTAATAAATCAAAGCTCAATTAAAGCCCCAAGTGCAATGTGTTATAATATGAACAAATAGTTTCTTGAAAAATATCTTAAACAAGTAAAAGAATTATTGAATAAACAATGTACCTGAAGCTTAGAATTCATAGTCCGTAACGTCCATGGCTTTGTGAAGTGTGGCCCTGGAGTTATGTCTTGTAGAAGGCTGTACTTAATCATGGAGGCTCTCTCATCGGCAAGTTTCAGTTGTTCTTTGGAGAGGGACCATGGTGTAGGTGGAAGTACACATTCTGGATCAACGTTTTTGTCACTACATTTTCTCTTTCTTTTCCTCTTGGATTTGGCTGATGGCAATGTAGAATTAGTTGGTGGCATCGGATTTGAGTTTGTCCTAATCCATATTTCTGGAAATCTGTCAAACTTTTTCTCACAATTTCTGATGTTTGGGCTGTCATGTTTACCAGTAAGCATGTCCATTAAATGGTTTATAAAGTCTGCAATAGTGTGCATGCCATCAGGTTGCATTTGATTTCCTCGGTCATGGTATGGAAGTTTCATGAATGTGTAGGTACCTTTCAACCCAGTCTCTTTTTGATGTTTCATCTTCTGGCTTTTGTTTGGCAGTTTGTCGTATTCTTCTCTTCGTTGTTTTTCCTCTTGAAAAGAGTAGGGGACTGGAACATTACTGTCTCTCTCTTTAAGTCCAAATCCAGAAGATCCTCTCATCGAGTCATCAGGAGGAAGGAAACTTCTATTCGACAAATGAATGGTTTTCTTCAGGAAATGACAATAGTGTCCAGTTTCTCGGCAATATGGACATGATCGTAAAGCAGCTGCACCACTCAGATGTAAAAGTTTAGAATATGCTGGGATGTCGCACAGAAACTGTAACAATGCCACTTTTACTTTTACAGGTGCTGTCATGTACGATGCCTTTACAGGAAATTCTGTCAAGTCAAGCAACTCCTCTGTCAAAATTTCCAAGTATGGCTCCAAATTCTTTGGCTCGCTCCCATTATTACCACTTGGAATTATTCCCATCAAAAACATAGGTCCAAGGAATTGGCGGATGTTTCTAGGCAGATTTATCCAAGTAAGTATCAGTGGCCACATTGATTTCTGGTTGGATGAATGTTTGTTAGGATTCACGCCATCAGTGAAAAGGGAAAGAGGGACACATAACTGCTCCTGCCAGCCTTCAAACACACCTCCTTCCTGAAACCAGGAATTGTAGAGCTGTCCATCAGTAAAATCCGTCAACATTCCACTTGTTTTAATCTTGTCGGCATATAATAACTGGCATAAATTTGAGGTTCCAAACCACCTTGCAAGTCTTGGCCCAAGAGGCATGTATGTAAAAGTCTTCCTAACGCGCCCATTGACTCTTCTAGGCTCACCACATTCTGGACAGGTATCAATATCAGCATGTGCACCTCGAAACAGCAAGCAGTCATTTATGCAAACTTCGTACTTCACAAGAGGGATAAGAAGATGTTTGATAACATTCTTGGCTTCCTCAAACGATGCAGGCAAGTGGTTGGGCTTTGGCAGGGTTTGCTTTTCATTATGCAGAACATCTGAAATTGCTTTTTTGGACACTCCATGGTTACTTGAAAACACATATAAATGTTGTGTCACAGCTTCCAACACAGTTACTTTGGATCCTTCATACAAAGGTCTAAGGAGATGAGGGTCCTTGTACGCATCTTCATTGAACATGAACTTTGGAGTAACCAGTTCTTCTTTTCTCGTACTGTCATTCTGGGCATGTCTATAGAACGTACTCCTTGGTACCCACTTTCCACTGCATTCAGTACACTTGCACAATCTAGCAGATCCTTTAAAAGAAGAAAAGAAAGTAATTTAAAAAAATGTAAATTTCAATCTGATTTGTAATTTTATTTTTAAGAATTTCTGAATCAGTTCTAAGATTTACCTGAAATTTATAACAAAAAAAAAACAAAACACCATTTTCATTTAAAAGTCATATAAAAAATTCTACAAATGTTCAAATAAAAAAATCTTCTTAATTTAAAATAATATTTTATGAAAATACCATATTTAAACTTGTTGCAATTATTTCTTAAAGATATTGCTCTGTATGATACTTTGTTTTTTTTTATTTAAAAATATTTTATCTGAGAGAGAGGGGGAGGGTGTGTGTGTGTTTATTTTTAATATATTTATTGATTTTTTATTTGTAAACTGCTATGGCTTAGCAAAACTAAAAAAAAAAAATTGACTTTTAAATTACCATCAAGTTTCCCCTGAAAAGACATACTGCTGAGGACAAAACAACAGATAAAGATACAGGGAGCCCATGTCATATTACTAATCAGGAAATTAAAGAGACTGAACCATATACACCTGCGGGGATTGAGGGGATGAATGGAGCAGTGGGACTGCATTTTCATTGGCCAGTGCTCTTAACCAATCAAAATGATTTCAAAAAATCCACCTTGTCACCTTCTTCCAAACTATTTTTAAATTAATTAAGATTAATAAAAGATACATGCATTAATCCCCTATTTCAGAAGGGGTTTAAACTTAATTTATATAAAAAAAATAAATAATTAAATAAAAAAAATAAATAAAATAATTTCAATCAAATGAACACCTACTTGCTACACACATGTAATATTTTATAATCATAGACATTATTTTTGACATGAACTGCTTTTGAATACATATCTGCTTGCCACTATTTAATATGGAAAAAATGATATGACAGAAATTCTCAATACATGTATAAAAAAAATTGATGCACCGGCCATTTTCCCTACTTCATGAACATGTAAATAATAACAAAACTTAATTTTATGAAATCCATATATTTATAATCCACTTCTAAATCCAATTCATTCTAATTTACTTGGGAAATCTGATAACCTATTTAATATTCCATTGCAATGGTCATAAATTTTGTGAAATATCAAGGGAGATAAAACACATATGCCCTTAGCATGAAACCTGAATTCACATCATGTTGTATTATTAAATTTACTGAATATTTCAAATATTTTAATGTTCAACTGTGAATTTGTAGCAAAATGCACGATTTGGCTAATAAGGCTTGGCATAATTAAAATTTTATTGACCATTCAATAATTAATATGTTTTCACTGTTGGATCTTTAAGGAGGTCACACACCATCTAATTGTTTTAAGTAGCCTCTTGTTTAGACAATACTTTAAAGATGAAAAGTTTCAAAAAGAAGAATAATTGTATGATTACCTAATTATGAGATCTAAATTACAACTTTGACATTAATTTATCCTTAAAAATGACTGAATTATTGAGACCCTAAACCAGTCTTCAGCTTAATTCAGACCGTTCAGTGTGTGTTGTAACCTGCATCGTCATCATGAACCCCTATCAAAACCTATCCTTTAATCCTATGGACTATAACTATGCTCCCAACGGATCCTATGCGCCCTTGCAGAACTCTACTCCCAGTGCTGTCTATGTGCCTCCCAGTGTTTCTAAATCCTGTGACTTTAATTGTGTTTGCTGCCTTAAACTGAAAGCGGGCCAGACGTCTTCTTGCAACACCTCTAAAACATCAGTTGGAACACAGACCATGCTTGAAGTTCCTCAAGGCCTCGATCCCGAGGGTTTCTGGACCAGAGGGACTTACGAGCATGCTTTGTTACAGGTAATCAATTAAATATGTCTTTCTGCTATTTTCAAATTATATCTTTTGTTGAGAGGTCCAAAATACTTACTTCAATGTATGCACTTTTCAAAAAGTTAATCTGTGAACATTAATAATTTGAAAAAATTTACTTTAATCAGATTCTCTTAAAGAATTCTTTTGGCAGAGGGTACATGTATAAAATAATGAATATCATCAACTTGTACATTTAGAAAATTTTTCTATGCACTGCGAGTAAAAAAATCATATATTTTGACCATTTAGTATCAATTGTTTATATATTAAGGACCTTATTAATACTATTTTTACTTTAAACACTGTATGCTTTGCTTGACATGTGTAGGAATTAGGACACATGCATGTACAGTATTTTGTATTTGTTATGGTCACAACAGAATGTAAGAAAAACATATTTGTTCTGCTATTCAACATAATGAGGCTATAATTTTTTAAAATATGAAGTTCATAAAAAGAATTTAATGATTATTATTAAGCAAGAGGACCTTTGATTATAATGAACACTTCATAATCTAAAAAATATAATTTCTCTTTTAGAAGTCTGTCAACAATGCCATGGAAAAGTACAGGCTGTCGGGGAAAAAAGGACGACAACTGGGAGGCTGCGACTAATGACATCATGAACGCCTACCAATGTGACATGCCCCAGACTCCCACAAACAGAAGAAAAGTTCAGGACCGGATGAGGAAAGCAGTGTACTGGGCACGCTTCTACCGGAAGAAAGAGTAAGTTAATCATTATAATACAATTTTGTCATCTTTTTCAGAACAGTTAATTTGTTTAAAACAAATTATAAAACCAATTAAGTTAAGCTTATAAATAACTTGGTCACTTGTTTTTGATATTAATAAAATAATAGTTTTGACTTTTGAAGATTTCTTTAAACAGAAGTTTCTAATCATGCTAATGGTATAAATATGTTTAAGTTCTTCATTGAATGTGGTGTTTTTAAATTATAAAATGGGTTGATGTGTTATATAATATTTGATATAGTTACATACATGTTAAAAAAGTAAAGAATAAAAATGTTTATGTTATAACAGTTTTGATTTCATCAAGTGTTTTAAAATTTGATTGATTTTCCCTGTATGTGTATATCAAACACACAGTAGCAGTGGTAGCCAGCAGAGAACAATAGGTTTATACACAGCCATTGTTTCCACAGATCATAGCTGACCGTGCAACTAACATAGAATACGCATAGATTACACATAGAATTAACACAGTATATACACTTCCTACTGTAAACAAAGATCAAAAGAAAAAATTATTCTTTGAAATAAATTCTGGTAGCATGAAAAGTATGAAATATAAAAGAAAAAATTTAAATTATATGTTTGAAATCATAAATTAAATTCCATATTAATTATTTTACCAGTGGCATTGTTAAAAGTAATTTTTATCTGTAAGAATTATGAATGTATAAGGTCAATATTATATAATTTTTCCAGTTTTCAAGTAATGAAACAATTTTAAAATATAAAACCATCAAAAATAGGGTCAATCCTATCAAACTTCTGTGGCAGTTTTATAGTAATCATATGAAGTTAAGATAACCATCCAAAATATAAATTTCCCCATTGAAGTGAGTTATTATTCATTAAATTATTAATATCATCTAAAGTAAACAATCAGTACATGTACATTAAAAGCTAAGCTGACCTGCCTAAATGAAAAGTGTATCACATGTACATGTATCATGTATCTATCCAGCTCTTGGTCCACTTGAAACCTTCCTGATTTTTTTTAATTGTGTGATTATATTTGTTCATTACATTTTTCAGGAAGGAGGCAGTGAAAAGGGGCATGACGGTTAAAGCATTCCTCCGGCATTCAAAACAACACCAGCCAGAAACAAACAATTCCCAGCCCTCTGGATTGTTGGAGGAACAACATGACACGTAAGTAATTAATTATTTCTAATTAAGATAATTAAAGTAAAAAGTAAAAAAAAAATGTAGAGTAATCATATTCATTGAACTACAGTACAGAAAGAAATTATCAAGTTGATCTAGCTTTTAATTTCCTTAACAGAAATTCAAAGATTTCATAATAAAATTTTGTAATTCATTAAACAATTTAATAATATGATTAATATTGATTTATATTTCTTATAAAAACAAGTCAAGTGTGTTCATTTTTTCTGTTTACAATCTGATGCCTATGAAAGTCATCATCATGTGATTATATCATTAATTCTTTCTCTGCAGTGAGCTAGCTGACCGTGGAGATGCCAGAGATGTGACACCACCTACAGCAGCTTCCGGGTCCAGCGATTCCGACAGTGACACACCTTTGGCTGTACTACGTCAGAAGAGCAAGGGGAAGAAGTAATTTCACCCGCCAGCTGAGTTGCGCTGACATGGACTTTGTACATGATGTTGTATCAGTGACAGTGACTGTGTTTTATATGTAAATAATGTATACTCTGTATTTATGTAATATTATCATTATTAAATTTACCTATTGCAATGTATCAGAAAACCTTTACAACTTGTCATTGTGCATTGATGTAAATTTAAGAAATGTAATCATTAAATTACCTGTGAAAACTTTTACTTAGCATTTTTTTATTTTGCTTTTATGTAGTTGACTAGTTGAGATAAACAGAGAACTTCTACATAAAATTAAATATATCCAAGTCTGATGTACAAAAGGGTACAAACCATTATAAAAATTACTTTTACAACTAAGTAAAAAGAGACATTGACATTTAAATGTATCAATACTTACTTCAACAATTCATAAGGATCGAGGAAATTCCAACTTCTTTAGGGTTCACTTGCTTCCGTGTAGTGGGCTACTTGACACTGCTAGGCACATGCATAGTTATCTCCAGCATCAGTATCGGAAGTAAATACAGAAAGAGGATTGTTTTGTAAAAAAAATTGTCACTATTATTTCCATATTTGAGCCATCGGTTGGAAGTCCTTCCGAATTTCCTTATAAAAAAACTTGTCGATTGTCAAATACGCCATAATATACGGTTCAAACGTTTTCAAAAAATGTATACCGCTAATATGAACACTCAGTCTTGTTGAAAACAAAAAAGATGTCATTAAGTTGTCTGTAGTTTCCCTATTCAAAACATCTGACAAATGCACCTGCAGCGCCATGCCATGTGGATGTGCAAACAGTAGAGCTAGTACACGATACAAGGAACCACATCTTCGCCTTAAAAATTCAGCGTCTTAAGTTACAGATCAGACTATAATTTCTTTTTTTTTAAAAGAGAAATATTAATGCTGTAAAATTGTCAGTCATTAAAGTAGAGGCATACAGAAAAGCATCAATGTACGTTGCTTTCGAATTTGAGAGAGAGAGAGAGAAAGAGAGAGAGAGAGATTCTTCCCATTTCTTAAAAAGATTCCTAGCTCAGATTTTTTTATTGGATACGTATGAAAAGAACATCATGTTGCGTGTGTGTGCCCCCCTCCCTTTCTTAAGAGTGTCAAGGAAACTTAAAAAAAAAAATGGGCCAAAGTTCAAGGACTTTTGCACCCCCTTCCACCTCAAGTTTTTTTTTTTTCTACATTTTTAACAGCGATAGCAGAATGGTCTATTGATTTATAGTTCGATGTAATACATTTCTGCTCAGTGAAATTTCACCAGGCGAAGTCTCCTTGTATTACAAACTGTTTGAATTAATGTCACTCTCCTAAATCAGCCTGTATGTATTTTAACTGGTAAACAATAATAAAATAAAAATAAATAACAAAAGAAGGAAAGGTCTTTTGTTAGCAAATTCTCTATTTTTTCCCTTTTATCGTTGACTTATATGCACATGCTACAAAACAAGTACCACATTTAACGGTTTAATTAATTTAAATAGCTACCGTGATCAGTCGAATTGATTTTTATGACACACAATATAACTTACCTTAGATTTCATTCATGGAAAAATGAGGAATTAATAAATCTATAGAAAATATCGCCACACTAAACAGAGTACAAGAACAACACATCTTTAAGAAATAACTATTTAATTAATTTCTAAATTAATGCATTCTGAGATTATATTTCTTTCTCTGTTTATTTAATCATTTATTTATTGTTTTATTCTATTTTGGATTTTGTTAATAACGTAAAACACCGTGACAATAAAAAAAAAAAAAAAACATCAAACATCGCAATGAAATTAACCCTATATGAAATTTAAAATGCATGTTAAAAAAATTAACATAAATTTCAGGATGTATATTCGTATAGAAAAATATATACATAAGAATTTTTTTTTAATAAATTAACTTTATTTAGTAATAATTAGATGTATATAAAACTACTAAGATCCTCTTAAGACCCTGCTAGAGCGAGAACAATAGGGACAGTAATTATCAGTAAATGTCAGCACTTGTCTAAGTTTTTCAGCAGGGACAGTAAACGGGTCAGTAATTGTCTAAGTTTATCAGCACCGACTAAGATTGTCAGCATTTTTCTAAGTTTATCAGCACCGGCAGTAAAAAGGTCAGTAATTGTCTAAGTTTTTCAGTAACGACAGCACATTGTCAGTAAATGTCTAAGTTTATCAGTAAAAAATGGGAATGTCAGTACGTTTCTGACCTAGTAGTGTAATTGTCGTCATGTCACAGTAAACACAGACAGGACTAGTAATTGTCGTCATGTCACAGTAAACACAGACAGGACTATTAATTGTCGTCATGTCACAGTAAATAGGGACAGGACTAGTAATTGTTGTCATGTCACTGTAAGCTCACGAGGATATATCGACGAAGAAATGGAAATTACCATTGTTAGTTGACAATATCTCGTCTATATATCTATATGTCGAGTAGAATATCAAAACAATAATTAAAAAGAAATCAAAAATGTAATTATCCACTTTTTTCTGAAATTCAAAGAGATAGTAAAATGTGAAACCTTGCTTTAAATCATCGAATCAAATTAACATTAATAAAATGCACTTGGCAAGTCAAATAACAAAGGCACGAGAAGAGTAAAGAATTGCAAGAGCATAAAGAAAAGTTTACATACAATTTTATTAATGTAAGTGGTCTTGTTGTTCAAAATCTTTTTTTTTTCGGAGTCAGTTTAACGTTTGGAGAAGTCTAGAAAACTTTTTTTTGTTTGGCAAAACTAAATTAAAAGGTTTATGAGAAGAATAAATAAGAATCAGAAATCAACTGCATTAAATTTCTTCACGACAGCGTCCAAACCTGCAAGGTATGAAGAGTAAAGAAGTTTTTAGTTAAACTGAAACAGGGTTAACGTTTTGTCATACCTACAATATTCACTAGATCTTTCAACCTTTGACAAAGGGCCATACAGAAAATTGATTTGACTTCTAAAAACAATTTGGAATTGAATAAAAATATCACGGACGGGTATTTTATTGAAAAGAGAATATTTGAGTAAGATCATCAAGACTAAATCAATTTTTTTTTTGTTTCTTTCCGAGCACCGATGACATGATTTATTGAAAAGCCCACATACGGTCTGAAACGGAAGACTTCAATAAGAAAAGAAACTGTAGAATTATGCACTTTAAGGTCTTTCATCGGAAACGGAAGATCTTAATAAACAGTAGAATTACTATAAGGTCTTACGACTGGAAAGGAGACCTTATCAAGAAACGGAATAAAAACAAACTTCGCTTGGGCAACAGACCTGGCATTTAATTAAAGTTCAAACTTATATAAATCTTTAGACATATATGAGTGACTTAGATGTTCTCAGCACACGACATGACATCTGACTTGGACATGTCATCTCACCATGTTCCCAGCACACGACAAGACATTTAGTATGGTGACTTTTTCCCCAAACTGGATATTTTTTTCTAATTAGACAGAACACAAAATACAATCATCTTTAGATATTTACATCAAATAAACACAACAAAGAATAATATGAAGATACATGCAAACCATTTCAGTGAAATCGGTAAAAGGAATGGACAAATAACGTGTTCCTCTTTAATTAAAATACATTTATGTAAATAACAAGCTTTATTAGCAGACTCTTCCATGTCAAAAAGCTTTAACTCAGATTCTTGTGTCAATTTTTTAGTTTACTCCTTTGTTTTATTATTTCTCAAATTTTTGAAGCTCGTCGATATTCCTATCCCTTGTGAATCACTAACAAACGACCTTGCTTTTAATTAAGTATTTTAACATTTTCCACGAATAAATCTTTTTTTGAAATAAATATTTATCTTTTTTTACTTACAAAGTGGGAATGATATGTGAAATTTTCTAATTCAAGCACCAAATGAATTTTAATTCTACCATCAGGAGCAGAAAATATGCTGATATCTAAAACATCAAAGCTGAACCCAGATGTCCATGACGAGCGAATATCCCCCGTTAAAAGAAGGATATGGAGATAACGAACAGCAATAAATGTCAAAGTCCATTAAACAATATACAAAATAAGAGCAGAGCAAACAAGGACCTCCAAATTTTCAGAGGTGGGATCAAGTGCTATGGAGGAGTGAGCATCCCAATTCGTATTATTCATTATTTACACACTAATTGACGACGGATTATCCCATAATTTCCAGATCATCACAAAGACGAAAGGGTCGGTTTGAACGGTCGGCATAAGATGACCATTCCTAAATGGCTCCCGATCTATGATTTTTCAGAGGTCCGTGTTTGTTCTGCTCTGTTTGTTTAATGGAATTTTGAACTTGAATATTGTTCGTTATCTTCATACAATTCATTTATCTATCATATCCAATTACAAAAGTAAAAGTATGTAATAATAAAAGTATGTTTATTTAAAATTTGGCTAGTATAATAACAGGACCAGGGTTTCCTTCACTTACCAGAGGATTGGTTTAAAATTTAAAAGATTTTCCATTATTTGTTTGAAGTTCTGCGAGTTTAGGAAAGATGCTATTTCATTGTGCAAAGTAAAGTATTAGAGCTAAAACTTTCAACATTTTAACATCGTGATATGCTGTCAGATCTCAAAAATAAAGTAGTTAATATTTACCTTGCATTGTGTTAGAGTAAATAGAATTTAATGAGCTTCTAATTCTTATTTTTTTTTTTCAAAATAATTTCTTCTTGTTTCTATACCCTTGAGGTTTATTAGGGATTTACAAAAAATATATTAACAGGATATATCTTTGTAGTTGAATCTATATTAATTAAATTTAAGTCTCCGTTATATCCGCATTAGATTTTTTTTGTCTTTGATTATAATTCGAAGAGGCAAAATTAAGTGCCAACTGTTTATAAGTTTTTATAAAGCTGCGCTCGCCAAAAGCGTCACATCGTAAAAAAATATAATTTACAGATTTCATTAATTGTGACAAATTGATGTAAGCTCAATTTGAAATATAAGATAAGTAAGTAGAATGCAATATTAATTTTTTAATCACGCAGTGAATGACAGTTTAGAATTTAAGGGAGTTTGGGGATATGTTTGAGAGGTATGGACTTATTAAATTTTTTTTGAAGTTTTAAAGAACAAATGCAAACAATAGATAATTTCTTCAATTCCTGATTAATGATGCATATTTAAGTTCGATGTTGCGAAAATTTCATGTAAGTATCTCGTCAGAATTTTAAGCACAGTGTCAAAGACATGAAGTACCCTCAAAATAAAAATTCACACACACACAAAAAAAACTTTATGGAGTAAGACCACCACTCACTTGTTACTACAAGACTGTAACTACAGTTGAATATCAAGTACCGTCGAATAGGATATTAACCCATCTGCTGCCACACCTACTGACTAGATATTTTCAAACCTTTAAATTGCGTGGTGCAAGGAAAAAAAGGGGGGAAGGCTTTGACATTTCTGATAAATTTTCAAATGTGATTAAAGGGATTAAGATGCGGAAATTTCACAGTGTATCATCACACAGCTGACTTTTGGTCAATATTCCAGGGTGTTAAGCATGTAAGTGGCCACCGCTTTAAGGGTACCGGTAATTCAGACTGCTAGAGCTGAAATAAGACTGTCACGAGCACCGATTTCTTATCATTTTTGTACGATTGAAATTGTTTGTTTTCCTGTTTCTTATATTGTTTCAAGACAATATAACACTCTTTTAACCTTTTGTGTTGCCAAACTTTGGCCTCGGACGAAGATCAAGGTAACTTCCAGCTAGGTTAAATTTTGTCAAACACGTTCAAATTGTGATAAATTTGTGAGGAAAAATGATGCA